ACCTTAATTCTCTGAGTATCATATAAATGAAAATTATTTCAAAAGACTTGGGAGGCCAAAGAAGACCTCACTCAAGTAGGCTGTGATTTCCCCTGTCAGCAGTCTTCATTCTTAAAGCCAAACACAAACCCAAGAACTAGCAAGTCATCTCATGAAGGTAAAATTTTGGTCTGTTTCAAATTGATAAGCCTCATCTCATTTGCTTTCTGCAACAGGATATTAAAGGTGTCCAAATAAAGATGTCCTAAAGACATCGAAATAAAGATAGAAGTTAACATTTGCAAATCAAAGAGCAGATCAGCCACTGGACCCAAAGGCACCTACATTAAGCTAACTCAATTGCCAGGTGCTGGCCATTCATGTAGTCCAGTGTAGGCACACACACCAGTTCTGCAATGAAAAGGAACTCGCACCACAGCCATGTGCAGGATGCTTTTGTTGAAGAACCAAACTACAAATCTAGAAGCCTAAATTTCAGGAGACATCTCTGAAAACATGGGCATAGGTGTCCAAACTGTTTTGTTATTAAAGAAACATACTGCATGTTTACAGCAATCATCTATGGGACCACTGCTTAAAAATACAATATTCAGACAGTTAAAGATTCTCAAGCAAGGGGAAAGTACAGATGTGACAGAGTCAATCACAAGGCTCAAAGAAGAAAATGGTGAATTCCTGCAAGGGGTGAATTACCACTTCTGGCTAGTCATTTGAACTCTCCAACTCAGGTTCTTTTACACACAAACATCAAATGCTAATTCCAATATTTGCTAATGGATCAAAGCATCACCTACTTCACACAGCTGTTCCTTTGCACCTTCACTTATTTTACAGCCTTTATCTATACACCAACGCTAACAATCCCTCATCAAAATCCTTTTAAAACTTCATTTGGCTTTGAACTGATAGATCCAATTATACCTAAGTGGCTAAAATGGAACCTGGCATGGGTCCACAGTTAGCAGTTCAATCTCCAGTGTGCAGCAAAACTGATGTGAAAAGGCATCTCAGAGAGCAACCTCAGATAGGAAAAGTGGAGGAAAATTATGGAGGATACAGAAGATCTTTAAACTAGCTGTCTCTGATTAAGGAGCTGTCAAAGTAGGGATGATACACTGAAGCAAAGGAGGGCATGCAGTAAAGGCTAGTTACAGTCAGAAACAGGGCTGTTGGGGAAATGGCCAAAGCTCGTTCCATTGATGCTGCTCGTCACAAATCACAACAGTGACCGAGATTAATATTACCACAAGGCGCCAAGCCACATCTTTCATTTAGGTTCAATGTCTGTCTTCTGTGTAATAAAGGCCTTCAAGATCAGCAATTAAGGTAGCTGTACCCCTAAATCCTGCCCCCCCCCCCACTTCAAGTCCCTTGCTTGCAGTCTCAGAGTAGTTACATATGACCTTTGAGCTGGCCACACAGGCTGCTGTTGCTAGAAGGAGAAAGCCCTCCCCTTCCTCCAGCTCTGCACATCCCTCATTTCAGCTGCAGCATGAGCACAGCAGCAAAATTATTCCTCCCGCCCTGAGTCACAACGAGGGGGAAGTTTGCAACAAGGACCAGGAACCTCCCTTTCCAGGAGCAGCTGGAATTGCTAGTTTGTACACCAGGAATGTTTTCCATTAGAATCACCAAATTTTGTTTCTGGATTTGGAAGACCAGAGCATACAGATGACTGAACTGCTTCACAGGTAAGGAAGCAGCCTCAGCATATGTGCAGGCTAACATTGGCGACCAGGCAGTCACTCAACAAGTCAGATGAGCTTGCATAGCCAAGTGAAAACTAACATGTTCATTTGCACCATCAGAGTCAGTTTTGGGTCAAAACAGGGAGCAGATCTGACTCCCAGTGTGGTACCCACTCACAAGGGCTGACAGAGGGGGCAAAAGCAGGACAGCATCAGTGTGGAAGGGAATGGATGACTATTCCTTTCAGCAGCTGTCCACAGTTAACTACCTTAAGCTTAACATGAAATTACATCTTAAATCCTGAGAGGTGGATCCAGGAAACCCCCATTCTCTGTCTGCCAAACTCAGCTCTTTTACATGCAATCAATATAAGGTTGAGATTTAGAGATACAGTGACGTACCCTGACTCTCTCTGTAAGTCAAAAAGGATCTAAAATCTACACCCTGTTCAGGCTCTGAAACACCTTCCTTACATTCTCCTCACCAATTTTCCCCTCACTTCTTAACCTAAAGAAACAGTAGTAAAGAAGCCAACAGCTCCAATGCTAAGGAACTCCAGGGTATGAGGAGTCAGCCCTGTTGACAGAGATGAAGAATTAACTATTGGCTAGAAATCTAGAAGCCAGTCTCACATGGGATACAAGCAGAGAGAGGAAGAAAAATGGGGAGGAGAAGACAAAACTTGCTGGGTTCCCTCAGGTAAAAGTTAATCCTGCAGTTCTACAGAAGATTAAGAAAAGGATGTTATGGAAAGCATCTGACAGTTCTGCCACTCCAAGAGCAAGTGAAATGAACCGTTCACCTTAAGTACATCTTCTGAAGGGGACCTGCCCACTTTTTGGACATGAAAGGATTTAATTACCCCAAGAAAAACAATTTGCAAAGACATCAACTCTGATTGAGGATGCAGACTACAGGAACCTCGGGAAGACTCTGAGAAAACAGCACTACACACTACCTCTACTTTTCTTCTGTTCCCAGGACACTCACTATCGACCACCATTAGAAAGGACAGGATGGGCCAGGCCTATCCCCACAGTCATTTACCCTACTAATGACACCACTGAGCAATCAAACAGACACCTCGTTATGCCTGTCCCCACGTGCTTGTGCTGTTTGGGCTGTTAAAGCTTTGCATCTGCTGTGAGCTGAGCTAACAGAACTGAAGTAGCTTGAGAGTCAGCCATGACTGCAAACATCTCCCAGCAATATTCCATGTTATGTTGTCATAATAAGCCTAACAAAAAACTGAGATGATGTCTCTCCTTGCAGACAGGGGAACAGCCCAACCCATTGTAGTTGTTATACATCACATTCCTCTTACTTTCTAATGCTTGCAAAGCCATGCTTCAGTTAGTGACCAGTCACTTTTTTTAACATTAGTTTATCACATCTTTATATAGCAGAACAGTACACTTGTGGCTATTAAAAGGAAAATACGTAATTCTGAAAAGGATGTCTATATGTTTACCCTGCCCACATGATTCAGAGTATGAAGTGAAAGAGCACACTCACTAACCAAGAAAATTCAGTGGGGATACCATTACTTTCCATGGTAAAGGGACAGGGGAAATGGGAGAGCTTGAAAACAACAAATAGCAGAGAAGTCCTGTTCTTACAGGGTATTTATCTCTTTAGGCACAAAGCTTAAAATAAGAGGTTGTAATGAAAATACTTCTCTACCATGACCAGACATCAATCTTCCCTTTGCTACCCTAAGACACTGTGCTATAGTTCAACATCCTGCTGCCAACTATCCTTCCACCTGCCCCCCATCCTCTTCTTTTCCCTCATACAGGTCCTGGTTACTATGAAGCAACTTCAAACAGACCCTAGCAGCCCAGCCCACTCTGACCACCTCCATCTATTGCTCTGATATCTTTTAACAGACAGCTTCCAAATCACACTCACATGAACACACACATTAAAATCCAAGATACAGCAGAGCACAAGGAGCCAAGTGTTAAAGTCAGCTCTTCATCTTTCAAGCACTGGTGGTTTTTGTACAAACCAGAGAGCAGAAAACCCACAAAATTTTAAAGTGTCTACTTCAGGAGCTGGCAGCAGAGAGGCAACAAGCCCTGTCTGACCAGAAATTACTCGAGCCACGTGGATGCCCTTGCACTGCTGCCAGCATGCTGCGTTCAAAGAGAGGTTATTAGCCAGATGCAGCATGTCTTTGGTACAACACTGCAGCTGAGGTGATAAATCCACAGCCCAGAACAATTCAAGTGGCTCTGCCAGGGTCAGCACAGGCCTGGCTGGATTTCCTGGCTTCTGCTCAGCATCAGCCCTCAGAGCCATCTCCTGTAGAGCTGCATCAAGATCTCTGCTCTGTAAATCCTCACGGTGGCTGTTCCGCAAGGATCAAGTCTCATGGCAAATACACCAAATCTGCTCACAGGCTTGACAGCACCTCAGCTAACCAGCCCTCCCAGAAACAATGCTGCTGGGAGCCCACTGTGGACAAACACTGGCTGTGCACAGAGCTTGCACGGGTGAGCAGGATTCATCAGCCTGACTTCAGAGAGAAGCTGGCCCTGGAAGCTTCACACCTGAGACAATGCACCTAAGCGAGTAAACTTGTCCAGAGCTGAACTTACACTTCTTTCACAGCACTGAGCTGCTCTTTCTAAGCCTCCATGGTACCGTTAACACATTCACCCCAATAAATCACCAAAGGATAATTGAGATTTACTCATGTTTGGGGAATACAACCCCCAGGTGGCAGCCAGAAACAGCAAACAAGCTGGAGAGTCTGAGAGACTCTCATCTTATAAACTAGAGACCAAAGAGTTCTTATCTGGACTTTTTCCTCCCCTGCATTTCATACGATTTGAGGCTCACTAAAATGTCCTAGGGATTCTCCCAACAGCACAGTTGTTATTCAAGTCATACTCTCTGGGTCATCCCTACTGCAGACACACCAAGGGCAGCACTGAAAATCAGTATGATGTGTCAACAAAGAGACAGCAACAAGGAAACCACCATGCAGGGACCAGCTGAGGGTCTTGTCCCATTCAATAACTATTTTCAAGTCACAGAAAGACAAGTCCTGTTTTAGAAGTCAGCAAAAAATTAAAGATCAGATTTAAAATTGACTCATTATTTAGATATTTCTGCTATCAAGGTATTACTGCTCATGCACCACACATACAGCCTCGAAATTACCTACCTCCTACCATTTTCAGATTCACCCTATTCTGGTGGAAATTAACAGACAGCTCAGATGGTTGAGTGTTTCTTTGCTATACAAGATGCTCAATTGCCATTTTAGGCTAGATACCTGCAATTCTGAGGTATGAACTTACTGTTTACAATGTCACCTTGCAGCTGAAGAATTTGTGGAACAGGCATTGTGAGAACAACTACATCAAACTGTTCCGGCGGTCCCATTTTCCTGGAGACTTCCCATTTCCCATCTCGGAGAGAGATGCAAGTTACATGCTGTTCATAGAAGACATCTGCACCTGCTTGGAAAAAGAAGTTAATACATGCAAGTGAATTCCACAGAAAAAATGCACAGTAGTTTCCCTTAGTAACTGGATGACTTGCAACCAGCAAAGCACACAGACAGTCTTAGGGCAAAGCTTCACAAATGGGGTCAAATCAATTTAACAGTTAGCATATGACATTAAAAGAGGGGATCCTCATCAGCTGAAAAGATCCCATCACTCCCATGTGCTAGGGCTGGTATTCATCTCACGCCTCTCTGACATGATTCAGCTCAGTAAACAGATGCAAAACTACCAGCTGCCCTCTTTGTCAGGTTAGTTGACTGTAGCTTTAGTGAGCTGAACCAATTCAGAGTGAAATCTGATAAGCACAGGAGGCAGCATAGGGTAAGCAATCAAATCACACCCCCAGGAACTGAAAAAGAGAGCGTTGCCCCTGTTAACATCTCTCATATATCAGAGGACAGGAATGTAGTTAATTATTTGCAAGATTAGGATCTAAAAAAAAGCTAATTAAAAAAAAAAAAGACAAAACCAATCACATGAAAGGAGCAAAGCTTGACTGCTCATAAAGCTAACATTTTTCAAACCAGAGTTAAATTAGTCACTAAACTGTACAAGTGGTTCTGCCACATTACAGCTAATGCAGTAGTTACACAGTTCAAGCTAGCACATGATCTTCTCCTTCAGTCTTTTCTAAAGCACTTGCAACACAGTAGGCTCACGTACTGCATAAGCACTCATTTCTTCGAAACACAGGATGTAGCTCACCACCGTGTTCCCAGTTGCTCGGTTAAACAGCACAGTTAACTTAAATACACACTTGTGAAAAAACACCCAAACACTCACTTCATTCAAGTTGCAACTCAAACCTCTTCTCAACCATGATCTCACTCCCACTAAATTATCTCTGTCCTAATTGTGTTAGGTCCAACTTTCATATGCTAAAGCCAACAGCATAAATATAAGCTTGGCCCCTGATCCTACAGATGTTATATTTTATACAGATTCCTATATGCCAGCAGTGCAGCTGAAGTCAGTGAAGCGCTTGCAGGACTTGGAAATTTATAGAGCTCGCAGACATGTTTATCCATCTAAGCAGCTTCAAGACATACATAAACAAACACGGAACTTGAACATTCTCATTGGAGATTTAAATTTGAAAGACAGTTGAAGAATGCTATCAAAACCACAATCATTAAAACTTTTCATTTCATACAAAGGCATCTAAAAAATTACCTGACTGTTTCAAGTAATACTTGACAACCGAGGACATGCCCTGGGGTGCCACATAATTGCATGAGCCTTCTTTCACTACCATTCCTTCAATGGGTGCAGTCAGCGGTTTCAAGATACCATGAGACAGAAGTTCCTCATAGAAGCTTAAAAGAAACAAATGACACAGAGATGAAAATACATTGCATGAAAACCAACGGCAGCTGTTATTATTTTTCACAATTAAAGTTAAGACCGGCCTAACTCTCGAATTTAGAGAGCAGTTTTTAACAACCTCATACAACCTGTGTTTCAAGCCAGGCTATGCCCAACCAGGAACCACAGCTATAGCTATCAAATGACAACTACCTTGCTGTTTTATTGGGGGCTGGCCTTTTACATGAGACCAAGGCTACCTACCATGCCCGTAACAGGAACTGTTAGCAGTTTGACCTGAAGGTTTCAGGACTAACTGTGGCAGGAACATACACGACAGTTACTTAAAGCTCTGAATATCAGTACAAACAGCATTACCATCACGCAGTGCAGGAAAGTTCCAGCAACTGGATGCAGATGCCCGAAGCACACCTGCCTTTTCCCCGATTTCCACATTAAATTTCGCATTTTTACATCGCTGTTACACCACCATCCCCTTCCCCAGACTACAGCAAACCACCCTGTTACCCAGCAGGCCCCACCAACGCGCCCCCCCCCCCGTCCCCGCAGTCAGCCACCGCTCTTCTTCAGGGCACAGGCGCCACATCCCCCCACAGACAAGCCACCTCACACTTTTTCTTTCATACCTAGCTTTCCTGGTACCCGCATAGCGCTTAGGCGACTCTGGGGCCTGTTAGCTCTTGAAAGAAGAGGTCTCTGTGGATTTAAGCAGCAGGGACGCACCTGCCCGCGCTTCCTACCGTGGGCTGATTCGCACCACGGGTGAAAAGCGCGGGGCCGGGACGCCGGGGGGCGGGGCAGGGCAGGGCAGGGCAGGCCGCTCGGCCACCGAACCCGCCCCGA